GGTGTACGTGGCTGGCGCCTTAGCCAGTTGAGCCACAGGCGCTGAGCCAGGAGTTGTTATTTCTTTACTTTCATAAATGTGTCTCCGCCTGTAGAACTTTTGTAGCCATGAGTACCCCTAATAGAAAGGCAGGAGACTTGCTTTTCAGTCACAACTCCCTGGCTGTTTTTGGTTGTATGACCCTGGGGAAAATCCTCTGTTTCTACTTGTCCACTTTTTAGAAGCAGACTAGGAATTGTAGATATGGTCATTGGACTTCATCAAGAGTGACCAAGAGGCTTCTTCTTATGCTGACCCTGGATAGACTAGTAATGGTTGCTGGGACTGTTAGCTTGAAAAGGAGTTCACAGATGGGAAAAGGAGTGCTGTGATCAATTGGTAATGCCTGCAGTGGTGAGGGCTAGAGTGGTAATAGGAGGAATGCCTTATGCTTGCCTTCCTTGGATGAAATAGTATTCAAGGTCCAGTTTTGGGATATGGTAAAGGGGAAAGAGGAGGGGTTTTGGCTTTCTGTTGTTGTTGTTATTTTGTTAGTTTGTTATACCAACTTTGCTTGCTTGGAAATCATTGCTGCCTATCAAGGTGGTTGGGAGAGAGAGAGAATCCATAAGTCCCTGACATTTTGGAGACCCATCATTAACTCTTTTTACTCCAGGCCCAGCCACTCCAGACTTCTATACCCTGGTAGCCCAGAGGCTAGAACAACTGGTCCAAGAGCAACTAAGATCTCCACCTAGCCCAGGTGAGATGCAGAGGAGCCCTGGAGAAGGATGGGGGTAAGAGAGTAGTTAGGGTTCTGCCCCCAGACAAATTCTCTTATGCCTCCAGAGTTACATGGTCCCCCACCCACGGAGAAGGAAGCCCTGCTGCGGAGGCTGGTGGCTTTGTTGGAGGAGGAGGCAGAAGTCATCAACCAGAAGGTGATGAGCATCTGTTCTACCCTTTGTAGAGTTCAGAAGTTGTGGGATGGTAGACCCCTGGGATCATAAGCTGGATCTGGGATAAGGCTTCAGTGAACGGTTCAGTGACGGGGTATAGTCAGGGTAGGGCTGTACTTTATATTTGTGGTTTTTATTGATTGTTAGAGAGTGTGGCCTAAATGCAGGGGTGTGGCCAACAAAAACATGGTCTAGAGAGACACCTGTGGCTCAAAGGAGTAGGGCACTGGCCCCATATACTGGAGATGGTAGGTTCAAACCCACCCCTGGCCAAAAAAAATAAACATGGTCTAGGAGAGACTGGGTCAGATTGGGGAAATAAGGGGTAAAGGTGGCAGTGGGAGAGTATCTAAATCTCCTTGATCACTACAGCGCTGTGGCTTAGAATGTAGGGGAAATGAACTTCTAGAGAAGACATGTCTCTTGACCTTGTCCTGGAACCTGGTTGGCTTGGCATCCTCAGCCAAGTACATGGTCCTATGATATTGTATAGCAGAGGGCAAGGTTGTTGTAGATCCTTGTCTGGCCTAGGGTCTCTGACTGGGGATACCTAGTGGAGACTTGGCTAGAAGATAAGCTTTCTAGAACTTAAAATAGAGGTTGTCCCTGAGTGGATGTTAAGGGCTTCACAGGGGTGTGGCCTAGAGGCTCAGGTTCTAGGCTACCATTCCGGAGTAAGTTGGCCGCAAGCATAGTCAGGTTTGTGATTGGCTGATGTGATGGATGGGGTGTGGCTTAGAGGTTTAGAGTTTAGAACTGAGGAGCCATGCCTTTGAGCCTCCTATTGGCCGGCGACAAGGGCGTGACTGATGGGGACCTTGCTTCTTCCCTGCCCCACCCCACAGCTGGCCTCCGACCCCGCCCTGCGCAGCAAACTGGTCCGCCTGTCCACTGGCTCTTTCACCCGCCTAGTGGAACTGTTCTCCAGCCGTGAGGACAGCTCTCACCCAAGACGCACATGCCCTGGGCCGCCGCCACCTTCCCCAGAGCCTCTGGCCCGCCTGGCCCTGGCCATGGAGCTGAGCCGGCGTGTAGCTGGGCTGGGGGGCAACCTGGCAGGACTCAGCGTGGAGCACGTGCACAGCTTCACGCCTTGGATCCAGGCCCACGGGGGCTGGGTGAGCCTTAGAAACCTTTCCTGGTCTCATTTACCCAACCTTAATGTGATGGAGGGAGGCCAGGGGCTTCCTTCCTTTCAGACCTTAGGTGTTCTCCCATCTCTACTGTCCATTCGTGCTGTGTCAAGCACATAGTGTACAACAGGCACCACAAACGCTATGCCTGGCTTAAACTACTGGTAAACAGTAATAGCTGGGAGTCTGAGATGAGTGATTGCCCCTCCTTGGGCCTAAGTTTCCACTTTGGTAGAGTAGGGAAAGTGGTAGTACTACCTCAGAGGGCTGTTGTGATGATTAAAGTGGGATCATAGGCAGGTGCGGTAGCTCACGCCTGTAATCTTAGCACTTTGGGACTTGGCACCTGTGGCTTAAGTGGCTAAGGTGCCAGCCACATACACCTAAAGTGGCGGGTTTGAATCCAACCCGGGCCGCCAAACAACAATGATGGCTGCAACCAAAAATAGCCAGGTGTTGTGGTGGGGGCCTGTGGTCCCAGCTACTTGGGAGGCTGAGGCAGGAGACTCGCTTGAGCCCAGGAGTTGGAGGTTGCTGTGAGCAATGAAACCACAGCACTCTATCCAGGGGGACAGCTTGAGGCTCTGTCTCAAAAAAAAAAAAAAAAAAATCTTAGCACTTTGAGAGGCTGAGGCCGGTGGATTGCTTGAGCTCACAAGTTTGAGACCAGCCTGAGCAAAAAAAAAGCGAGACCCATCTCTACTAAAAATAGGAAAACTGAAGCAAGAGGATCGCTTGAGCCCAAATTGGAGGTTGCTGTGAGGTATGATGCCATGGCACTCTACCTAGGGTGACAGCTTAAAATTCTGTCTCAAAAAAAAATAAAATTAGGTAAAAAATAAAAATAAATAAAGTGGGGCTCAGTGCCAGTGGCTCAAGTGGCTAAGGCGCCAGTCACATACACCTGAGCTGGTGGGTTTGAATCCAGCCCAGGCCGCCAAACAACAATGATGGCTGCAACCAAAAAATAGCCAGGTGTTGGGGTGGGCACCAGTAGTCCCAGCTACTTGGGAGGCTGAGGCAAGAGAATCACTTGAGCCCAGGAGTTGGAGGTTACTGTGAGCTGTGATGCCATGGTACTCTACCCAGGGGGACAGCTTGAGGCTGTCTCAAAATAAATAAATAAAGTGGGATCATCCTGGTAAGTACTTGGTGTACTGCCTGGCATACTGTGGGCATTTGTTTCAGTGATAATATGGTTATTGTCTGCCCCTCCAACAATTCCTGTCATGATGCCCTTCCTCAGGTAACCTCCTGCTTTGCTTCCTCTGCTCCTTCTGCTGTGGTATCATCCTCAGTGAGGCCTTCCCTGCTCCCCCTTTAGAATTGAAGCCACTGCCACAGCCTCCCACCCACTCCCCTTCCCCCTTTCTCTGCTTTACTTTTCCTTCTGCACTCTGCACCTTCTAACATATGGTAGAATTGACTTGTTTTCTTATTTTTGTTTGTTGCCTTCCCCTGACACTTAATGTATCAGCTTTAGAAGACCAAGGAGTCTAACTTGGCACTTCCGGTCTCAGAGTTGGATTGGGCACCAGCACTCTGACTGTGTGGCTTGATACTGTCCCCCTCTCCCTGAGCACCAGTTTTCCCTCTGGTTCAATAGGCACTGTTTCACTTACCTGCCTCCTGAGTCTCTGTGAGATGCAGTGAGAGGACGCCTGCCAGGCCCTTGGAATGTGACCATGGCTTCACAGGTTGGAGCTGGCCAGGTGTGTTTGAAGAGGGCAGTAGGGCTACAGCTAGAAGGAGAGAAGTGGCCATGTCATGCAGGTTCTTATGGTCACTGTGAGAATTGGGCTTTGTTTCTGAGTCAGCCAAGGTATCTGAGCAGCAGAGAACCTTCTGGCAGCCCTGTGGGGAGGAGACTATAGGGGGTGAGGGTGGAAATAGGTGTTCAGGGAAGAGATGACAGTGAATCAGACTAATGAGGGGGGTAGTAAAGGATTATGGATTTAATTTCTAGATATAGCTGACATGTTTTGTTAGTGAGCCAGATGTGAAGACAGAGAAAAGGACATTGGCCTAAGCAGCTGCAGGGCTACTTCTAAAGTCCCGGAGATAGGGAAGAAGGAGGGCTAGGGAGTGTGGGCAACATGGGGGGTAGTAAGTTTGAGGAAGTCAGAGATGATTAGAACTGGAGGATGATTCCAGTTAATGGGTAAATGCCAGCTGGGTGCAGTGGCTCATGCCTGTAATCCTAGCACTTTGGGAGGCTGAGTCAGGAGGATCACTTGAGGCCTGGAGTTCAAGACCAGCTGAGGGGCTAAGCGCCTGTGGCTCAAACGGCTAAGGCACCAGCCACATATACCTGAGCTGGCAGGTTCAAATCCAGCCTGGGCCCACCAAACAACAATGACCAAAAAATAGCCAGGTGTTGTGG